TTTCGCTTTCGCAGGTCTACACAAGGAGCCTCTACTTCGAAATGGCACTGTCCGGGCTCCTGGTGGAGCGCGAGGAGCGAGGGCAAAGTCGGACGGCTGCGTCGCGAGCCGAGCTTGCGAGGCCCAGACGCTGCCAAGCAGACTTCGGCGCATATGCACCGTGTGGCCCGTGCGCACCGTGTGCCCTGTGTGCTCCGTGTGCCCCGTGGTCGCCGTGGAAACGGGGACGCAACAAGGTGCCACGACCAGTTTCAAATGGTGCGCCTTTGCCGACAATCGCTTCGCGACTTGCGCCACTGGCGTTCGCTGACAAGGGGAGAAGGACGGGAATTGGTCAGGCTGGCGCCCAACCCCACGTTGCACTCCGATGCTGCCGACGTGGGGTACGGAAGAACACTGGGATCGCAAGTGCTGGCGGGCTCGCGGGGTTTGTGGGAGGGTCAAGGCTTTTGGACGGCAGCCGATCGCCCGCACTCGATCACTTTGAGGGAACTTCTGGCGGTTCGTCTGCTATTAAAGAGGCACTTTGCTGCGTACGTCAGCCGACCGGATGTTCAGCGCCTCTTGCTGCACGAGGACAACCAGGCAGTCTGCTTCATTTTGAACGCCATGGTGTCCGCTTCCAAGCCAATGATGGCGGAGCTACGCCGGCTTCAAGTTTTGCTGCAAACCCTGGGGGTGCGGATCGAAGCCCGGTGGTTGCCGTCCGCTGTCAACCGGTTCGCCGACGCTCTCTCCCGGACTTGGGATCCTGGCGACGTGGAGGCGACGGACCAGCTGCTGCAGTCGATCCAGGACGAGTACCAGGTGGACTCGGTGGTGTTCGCTCATCGCCCCCTCGGAGAGACGGCAGTCGCGCGACGGAAGTACTTGGCGACCCAGGTGCTGGAGGACTGGGGAGACGGGAGGGCGCGCTTGTGGAATCCTCCCTTCGACATGTCCCTCTGGTCATTCGCAAGGTGATAGCGGATGGTGGGAAGGGCGTCCTGGTGGCTCCCCACTGGCCAGCGCAAGCCTGGCATCTGCAGTTGGTGCGTCACACCACTACGATCAAGGTCCTTCATCCACAAGGCGCCGACTTTTCTCTACTGCGGAGTTCGAAAAATCTCAACGCCGACTGGTCCGTCGTTCTCGCAACAATGGCGTGAGGGTGGTCTGGCAGGAGGGGATAAGGGATGCGGTATTGAGCCGCTGTGGGGATGACGGTGCAACGGGAAGCGCCCAGGCCGCAGCAGACTTGGTTTCCAACCACGGATGGAGTGACGGGACTGGGACAAATCGCTCCAGCCAGATCAAGAAATGGTTTACCTTCTGCGACGAAGGTGGACGACCGCGGCTTGGGGCGAAGGAGGGGGATGTTCTAGCATATATCAGCTACTTGCATCTCGAAGGCAGGGTCGGTCCGACGTCAGTGGCGCAGTATGTCACGGCCGTATCTCGATACCACGAGCTCCTCAACATCGATTACCCCATTCATACCTCCATGGTATCGGCTCTTGTCCGCGCATATGCGAACAAGGACGATCTTCAGGGCGTCGTTCATATGGCTCGGGTTGGGCTCCCGGCAGCCCTCATGAGGCAGATTGTGGAATGTGGGCTATCTGCCGAGGACGTGGGCACGGTCGGCTATTGTGCTACAGCGGTGTTCGCATTTGTCTTTCAGTGCCGGTCGGTGTCTGTGGCCTATCTGAAAGACAGCGACATCACCATAACTGCAGAGGGAGTTAGTGCGGTGATCAGTCACCGGAAAGGCAAATCTCGGTCCCGACCACTACGCCCTTCACTTCCAACCAACCCCGTCTGGACCTCTACTGCCTCGCCAAACGCATTGATTTCGAAATGGCGCTCATTGCGTTCAGCCAATCTAGGTTTCTTCAATCTCAGACGTGGACAAAAGGTCGGCACTGCCGATCTCGGATCGCGGTTGAGAACCGTTGCCCTCGTCAACGGCGCTCCGCCGCCTGGCTGCTACTTCGTATCTTACAGCGCCCGTGTCGGTGGCTTTAACGAGCTGCTCGTCCTCCAGTTCAGTCGCGAATGGATTATGACCCGTCTGGATTGGGCATCGCAGAACCAGTTTTCTGTTTACTTCGATAGCCGTATTATTGTCACCGCCGCTTCGGAGTGGTTCTTTGCGCACATGCTGCCGCATGTCTAGTGCTCTCCGTGCATCCGCTACCGCTTTTATTTGCCCCCTTCGCGTCTCTGTACACGCTAGCGTGTATAGGGGTGAAACTCCTCGGAGAATAGCGAGTGGCTGTAATTACTATCAGCCAACCAAGCGTACCTCATCTCGCAGCCTCACTGCTCCGTGGTACTTATGGCGCCATCGTGAGCCTCTTGCCAGCCCCCCTCTCCTGGCCATGTCTATTTCTCTTGCTCGCCCAGCCCCGGCTGCGCCGCCCTCTTGGTAGTTTCCTTTCTCATCATGTCTTTTTCTCTTTATGTTTTCTTTATGTTTTCTTTATGTTTTCCAGTTCGGTTTAATGGTTAGCGTAGCCTTTGTGTGTCCCCTCTTAGCCGATGTCTCGTGACCGACTAGAACCCATAAACTACGAATATCTTCAAGGGGAAGTAAGGGAGGGTCTTAACTTGCCCGAGTTTGCCCGGGTTTGCTTGCCCCGAGCCATGATTTGCACTACTATTGGCTACTGGGCGTTAATATATGATTTGAAACTAAGTACGACCCTACACTGCAAGCTCAAGTTATGTCAGTGTGTAATGACAAATGTCAATAATATATTGGCTACTTTTGTAAGTTTGTAACTTTCGAATTTGGACGCTGTGCTCCGGTGGACGCTGTGCTTGCCCCTTGCCGAAAACATCCCCAACTCCCCCTTTACAAAAATCTATGCACCTGCCATTTCGCAAAGGCAACCCAACTCTACAAAGCACCTCTCTGCCGACTACTTTCCTGAAAATGGCTTCCACACCTCAATGCCACGTGCGCCGTTCTCCGCGCCTCTGGCGCATCTCTCTGACTCCCACCATTCTTAAGACGGGGACCACCAACGCAAAGTCTCTCACTATTGCTTCCTCGTCTGCAGCGGACGTTTCTGACCAAATATTATCCCCCCCTCCATACGGTATGTACGACTGAATTCTTTGTCGTTAAAAATCCTGTTGGCTCTGACAAAAGTCCATCCCCGTCCGAGATCTAAGGGCTTTGTGAATTTTCGGGGTCGAGGATAGTTTGAAATAGCTTGGTGCAATGAAAGGAGGGAGAATAGAGCTGCGGTTGCGGTTAGTGCGGTCGTAGCAGTGATGATTCTGTTGCCGTGCATTGCGTAGGAGTGATTAGATTGAGAAGAAAGGAGGGGAGGCGAACGGCGATACTGGGCAGTGGTTGTAGATCCGTTTTTTGACCAAACAGCGCCGGCGATAGATACGCTATCCCGCGGAGTAGTAAGGAGAGAAGTAGGGGGTGAGATCAATTATTTATCCCGGTGATCTGGGATCACCCGCAATGGCCACGTTCTGGGTCGGAAGCGAGCGACGCTGCAGCGTCTCGCATCCATGTCGACGCGTCCCTGGGGCGAAGTTGTTTGACGCTGCAGCATGTCACGTCCCTGTCGATGCGTCCTCGGAGCGAATTTGTAGAACCCACAGTGTCCTCCCCGTTGCGTTCTGGCAATTTATGGCGCTGTATGCCTCTGTAAGTCAGCACCGTCGCTCTGGGACACCTGTCCACTGCTAACGTAAGGGAAAGGACACCTGTCCACTACTAACGTAAGGGGAAGGCGTGTACTTACATTAATAAATTAATAAATGACCGGCAAACTCGGGCAAGCAAAGCAAACCCGGGCAAGTTAAGACCCTCCCTAAGTTGGTCAGACGGAGGCCCTTGCAAATTTAGAGTAAACTTTGGTATGTACTGTAAGGCTAGAACGTCTCTGCTAGGACACCGCCCTGTCTCTAAATAAAGTTATCCCAAACATGCAGTACCGGCCTCGAGAATTCAGCAAAATACGGCTTCCGGACTTCCCGCCATCCAGAGCCGCTCTTAGACTGTAAATTGGACATATCTACAGTATGTAACCCCATTTACAGGACCGTTTTGAAGCCGAAAGTCGTCGGCGCGAAGCGCGAGACTCTTGGGATCATGGCCTCATGACCCCCTCACGCAAAACCTAGCCTTCCCTACACGCTGCCCAGTCACAGCAATAACGCAAACAAGTCCCTTGTGGTATTCGGAATTACGCAGGTGGGTTATGAAAAATAAAGACAATTCAATGTCTCGCAATGGCGTGGGAGCTCGTGTGATCGAGCTGCGAGCCACTTCACCTGCTGGACGTTATACACTACTGGACTCTGCTTATCGCCTTGCTCCTCCCCCGCTATTCGAGAGAGAGGGCCTTGAATATAAACTTTAGGGCAAAGAAAAAACAGGCAGCTGCATCTACCTTACAGTAAAGCACAGAAGTGCATACGTACTGTACTCTAGGTTACTCATTCCTTCTCATTCCTACACAAAGATTCGGACCAACCCTCGTAACGATCAAGTCACGGGAGTAACGCAAACAAGTCCTGGCCTTAAGATTCGGGGGCCACCTTAGAACCCCAAAACGAGCAATGAATGAAGGAAATCAGTTCTGTGGCATACCATGCGGAACTTGGGCTGCGTGTGACACACGATGCCGCATGCATCAGTTTTTGGTTGCATCCCCGAAAGAAACGGAAAAACAGGATTGCGCACTCGCATCGGTTCCTCTTCATTCTACAACAGGACGAAAGGCGAGTAGGCCTACAGAATAACATGTAGGGGTTGTCGCCTCGATTCGAGTGCAGACACGCGCCGAGTGCAGATATGAGCACCGAGGCTTGCCGAGGGCCTCATATCGCACGACTATATATTGTTGCTTTTTGTCACGCAAACCTCACCAGGGGGGGGTGTGGCGTCTCGTGGGCCTGTGACCACCATTGCTGAATAATGTCACACGCTCTTCCGTCTCAGCGTTTTCTTCTACCAGCGATCGTCATATAAATGACCTGTGCCCTATATGCGCCGTGCGGAACGGAAGAGTAGAACAAATGGACAGTATATTAAACCATGTGCTGAAGGTTGTCCTCTACCGCTGCTAGCTTGTGAACATCGGTGCCCTCCTCCTGCCTGCACCATGAGTCTTCTGCCACATCCCTCATCCTCCCCGGATTTGCGCGGTCGACACGATGCCGCTCCCGACCGTCGCCTGCTGGCGGTGCCGGACTGCCTAGAGAGCTCTACGACGACGATCACGGAGGCGGGTTCGGACGCGGAGCCGCTAGCGTCTCTGTCGAACCGCAATGGGTCGCCCACCATCACTATCTTCACGGGTGGCGACGACAACCCCGCCGACTCGGGCTCGGCCTCGTTCGAGGAGAGCACGAAGTACAAAATCATGCCAAAGAGAAGAGACGAGTGGGAACTGCAGAACGCCTCGAACCGCGAGGTTCAAATCACGGCCACCAAGAAGCGCTCGCACGTCTTCGAAATCTCGCGCTTTAGCGGAGCCCAAGGTACCCGCACCACCTTTCGCCTCGTGCCTACGGGAAAGAAATTGAAGGCGTACGACCTTGTCCGTGAGGGCGAAGAAAATTCCTGCTGCACCATCACCGTCGAGTCGAAACACGCCTGGTCGTACAGAATAGCCTGCAAACCTGGTGCAGATGATGTTATTGCCTTGTTCAGCTTTTGGCTCGTCGCCATGTCCACCATACTGCCGGAGCCGAGAAGTCCCAGGTCGCTCTTCGGGTTAAGGGGAAGGAGTCATGAGAAGAACCATATGGCCATGCAGACAGTCGCCTAGACCTGTTTTACTCGTCTTTAAGTCGCGGTCACTGTCACTGTGAATAGCCCCCCTGAGTTCAGAACAGGCGTCTCACGTCGTGCTCTACTCTTTCTAGTTGCTAATACCTTCCCCGCGCTTGTGCGTTGCTTTGCTTCTGGTCTGGTTGGACTTCCTACTATTTACTGTATTGGATTCACGAGCTGTGCATTCACGAGCTGTGCATTCACGAGCTGTGCTTTGTAAAAATTACGTAAAGGTCGTCATGGTATTGGCGCCATGACCAAGTGCCGCTCAGGAGACCAAGAGCCATGGGACTGCAGTCGCTTCAACCGGTCCCACGGCTCTGGTACAGGCCCAGAAAGCAGGTGTTTATCTCTCCTTTGCTCGCTCCTACTAATGGAAAAATACAGGGTTTTCCAAGGCTGATAACAGTCTTCTTGCCTCAGGAGCCAGGTGGGTGTCACAATTATACCAGCTCCACTTCCATTTTTCCGCCACTGAAAAGACTGGCAAGAGTGTCTTGAGACACTCTTTCAGAGAGCTGCAGGCGAGGAGACCAGTGGCCCACTGTACCTAACCGTCACGTTCGACATTGACTGTGCATGTGTGGTCATTTGTGGAGGCACCTGTGGTCATTCGGGCATGTGCATGCAGTCATTGGTCATTGGTGGATATGAACACTGCGGAGCCAGATTATAATTTCAAATTTACACCAATTCGAGGTCCGCATGGCTGCATATATCCGTCGATATGACATAGCATTCGCAATAATAGTCATAAAGCATTTTGGTGACAAAGCAATTGGTGACAAGACGATTGCTGTGGTTCCTGCTCTTGCCAACAGCTTTGTGTATGCCGCTCTGTATGGCCCTGCTTTGTCAAGGACAGGCTTTTCTTGACAAAGCCTATTCCACAGTATAGTTCTGCGTACGTCGTCAAGGAGAAAAGGACATTCGGAGAGGGAAGAGACCGTACGTACAGAATTTCTTTTCATGTGCAAATTTGATGCAGCGCAAGCGCATCAACTATTGCGTTTCGACGCGTCCTGCGACGCTGCGAGTCTTTTCACTTACAGCATGATGTAACCGCTAGCGTCTGCAGGTCTTTGCGCTTACGACGAAATCTTCGAGTCCTAGCTTTCATGACGAAGTGCGAGAAATGAAATATATGGTACAGTACGAGTCCTTGTATACTGCATACCAATCAGGCCCCGCTTCAAGAACTCAAGGGAGAATGAGGCCTGCTGTGCATTTTAAGCCTGAGACACTGCTGGTGCATGTTTCGGCCCTCGTAGTTTCCTTAGCGAACCCCTTTGTAATGTTATAATTCGAGACTAGAAAAATCCCAATGCAATTGAGATCTTCGGAGGTGTGCCCTGAATCGACAAGCCAATGTCTACTGCACAGCACGTGGGTACAAAAGGATAACCATCACGAAATAATGACAAAAGGGATGAGAGAGCGAAGTCGAAAATCGCGTCTAAGACTATCTTGTGGAAACGTTCGAAGTAGACTGCGCCGTCGGTCTGGGTGGTATCTGTTTTCTTTTTCTTTTTTTTACTGCATGTGGATGGAGCAAATATTGGTATTTCTTATGCGGGGAAGGAAGCAATGCAACCACGCATGGAGAGTAATTCGATACCTTCAATGTTGGGAAGTAGAAACGGTTTCCCAGATTAGCATTCGCCTGCGTTTGGGTAGTTTCTCGCCGAAGAAGCTCGAGTCGCCATCTCCGATTGTCCTGGGGAAAGTAACATTCTTTAATAGTGCCTCCCTCTATATAGTGCAATGGCTCACCCTCTGGCACAGGTTTGATAACCTATCATAAGCCCACACGTGTAACATCAGGCATGGTCCAGTGTTACGATATACAGGGGGTCGCGATATAAGAGCACTTTGAATAAGAACGACCTCACAGTAAGAGCACCATTTTCGCTTGGCACGGTACAGGGGGGTCGCGATATAGTGCCATATTTGTTAGTGCCAGCTCCGATATAGTGCTACCCTTCTGCGGGTGGCACGAATTTTGAGCCAAAAACGAAGGGTCTCCAGGGAGGCAGTTGGATGGACATGTACTGCCCGAGAGCCGCTGCCGCCGCGGAAAGATATTATGCAGTTGCCAACTCGAATTGAGACTATGGCGGAAAAAGGCAGGGTCGATGATGCAATTGGACATCTGCAAAAGTGTAGGCTGGCATTTATGGCTGCGAAAAAGGAGGAAGTAAATGCAACGGCTCGGCAGCTACTAATAACAGAAATGCTTGATTAGACTTGAGTCTGTAGTGAAGATACAAAGCATGATTGATGGCGTCCTGCGAGCGGTCTTTCTGAGCAGTGATGCAAGGAAGTGTGGCTGCAAAAAAGCCGTAAATCTCATTATCTAACAGTGCCTGGTTCGATATAGTGCCGTTTTCGGCCCACTGACACAGGGTAGCACTATATCGCGACCCCCTGTATCATAACTTCAAGCACCATCAAACACTGTAATTCCAATCACACAGGCCCTTTCTCGGTTGGTATTTCAAACACATCTCAGACGTCCCGCCCACAGTCCGCCTGTTCCATTTCTCCGATGCACGGACCAGTACGGTGCTCCGAAATGACCTCTCACTTTCCACCGGTGGCTCACGGCTCGCTGAAGAGGCGCAAGCGCCGTTCGTTGAAAGAGAAAGCCATCCTCCCTCCCCCCCTAGTCCCCGGCTTTCGTCTGACCGTGACGGTTTTTTGCGTCCCTGCTGATGTGCTAACCTGTCCTCAAATCATCCAGTTAAGCCTCTATAGTAACTTCTCTATCTTTGGCCTCTCTCTTGCATACGTCCATACAGTGCCCTTGGTTCTTACCCGCTCCCTGGCACTCCCATTTGCAACCGTCCTCGTAGGGGGAGGACTGCTCGCCTAACCTTCCGACTTGGGGAGCCGCGTCAGCGAGGTGTGGCTGAGTGCAGTAGCGAACGCACGCCTGGTAACACGTGGAAATCTGCGCCTTACGACAATTAGTCGCCTTCAGGCAGCCGGGCATGCACGCACCCGCAGCACAGAGCAGCGCGCAGAGAAGCCATGTGAGAATCGCCGATCGGGTAGCTCTGAGTCGCATTTTAGCTTTCCGATTTATCGAAGTCAGAATTCACAAAGTCTTAGCTTGTGAATAAACGTTTTGTTCCGTGTTGGTTGTCGAAAAGAGGTTGGTGGTTTTTGAGAGAGTTGTTGGCGGCGAAAAAGGGGGGGGGGGGAGGAAGGCCGCGCGCGTAGGGGAGCGAGATGTACGGAAAGGGAAAAGCAGAAAAGAGAAAAGTTTATTGCAAGGGGGGGGTCGGTCGGGGTGTTGTTGTGTTCCGCCTCCATTGCGGTGTGTCGCGGCGCGCCCCTTTCTCTTATAGAGGGGCCGCCATCATCTTCCACTCCACAGGACCGCCGCTCTTCAAAGGGAGATTGTCCACGTGTACACCTGGCGTACACGTGAGCCAATAAAATCTCCTTTTTGAAGGCTTTGGTCCTGGGGCCACTCCTGGGTACTGTACCCTGTACAGTTGTGACATGCTAATTCGAAGGACTGTAATTCTATTGGCAAGCTGCACTATCACGCCTAATTTGGCTGGCATTTCCTAACTGAACGTCAGTGATAATCGCAGAGGGATCAATGACCCACGACCGATTGCAGCATACCCAAACGCTCTGAAAGTCCAAGCTAGAATTAATTGCAAACCTCCTCTTGAGGTGTATATATAAATATATATATGTATAGTTGAACCGCATACCGGCAGAAGATAAAAGGAGGCGGGCAGACGAGAGCAAAGAAACAAAGCAACAACGCCCAGCTTATCGGTGCTTCCCAACGTCTTCCTGTTGATAGTTAACCTTCGCCACTGCAACCTTGATTACAGCCCAGAATGCAACATCCCATAGTTATGGGCCCAAAAGGCTCTAACTATCCAGGTGGACTGCTTGACACACCAAGACTCACTCCAGTCACTGACAAATACAAATATCGACATGATGTACGCATGTGGCAACAGCGTATAAGAATGTTTGCTCGCGGCGGTCTCGGAAAAGCAAAAGGAATCTCTAGCGCAATTGGTCTGGCTCTATACGCATCAATGGACCCTTCATATCAACGCGTACTAGATAGTGCCATAGCCTCTGGAGATTTAAAATTTGAAAACGACGATGGTACTGCTTTTACAAACGAAGAGCAAGCGAACAGTGTCGTCAAGATAATTAATCTTCTCGCAAAGGACTCGATTACTGATGGTATACGAAGGCTGGTCAGAATGAGTCAGGAAATTTACAACTATAAACGCGACCGCGGTCAGTCATACGCATCATATGCAGAACACTTCCGTGGCATGGCTCAAGCGTACCTGAACCATTGTCATGCTGACACTGACTCTCAAGACAGCCAGAACTTCGCGATGATATTACTTGAGAACGCAAATCTTCCTGCCTCAACGTTTAACAATATTATCAGCATCTTGATTGCCGCAGCAGGGGACTCAGACAGAATGAAGAACAGAACAGTCTCAGTCAGCGATAAAACAATCTCCGATATTCAACAGTACGCCACATCAGCAGCTGAGATAATCAAAACAATCTCTAGCACAGTGATAACGGAGAGCAGCATCGAACCGTCAGCCATAAACAGCCTTGAGGACGCCATCAGAAAGCAAGCGTCACTCCTGAATACCATCAAGACCAGGTCTGCACAGGTCAATGGAAGCGACAGAATAGCATTCACCATCAGCCTCGACAAAGCAGTGGACGCTCTGAAGGATATCAAATCTGAAGTCGACCACAAGTCAAGCAACGGAAATACAAACATGCTAACCAAAGTAGCAGACACGAATCCCCCGTGTTAGGAGAGGCCAGTAAACCATACCGGCCCAACAAGAGGATTGGATCAATGTTCACAAAGAACAGACATCCAGACAGGACCTGGACCAGAACCGAGAACAGCAGATGGGACAGAAAAGGCAACAGCGATGAGAAACGCGGGTACATACAGCCAGGGACCGGGCCCAAAAAGAACTCTTATTGCACGAGATGTGGCGGTAAGGGCCATTGGCAAAAAGATCCCGAGTGCCCTGAGGCAGATAAAGATGCCATGAGAAGCGACGACGACTCCTATGAGCACCGGAACAAGCGCATGTACAAGCACAGCGAGAAGCGAAAGCGAGACAATCACGAAAGGCGTGTTCGTTTTAAAAATCCGAGTTCATACAGGAACGAGAAGAAAATGAAACCAGCAAGAAGCGGAGCATACGATAGCGAAAGCGACGGGGACTCGTATTTTCGGGACTAGGATCGGCCGAGCTCCACACCGACCCTAGCCCTATTTTCGACCCCGGAGCACCAACCTCAACAGCAGGCCTCAACCAAGCCACACACCTATGTGACGTCTTAGGTATTTCGCTCGACGTCCAGCCACCCCGCAACAACTACATCCATGGATGGGGAGAACAATGCCTGAACTCGAAACCAATCGTAGGATGTTGGACCCTCACTATCGCCGATAGGGAAGGCAAGCCAACGTCATTTACTTTCGATATTGTCCTAGGAAACTCCCCCATAATCATCGGACTCGATATAGCACAGTATACAGACCGATACAACTTAACGGGTGATCCGCACATCAAGATTGTAAGACCATCCGATATTTCACCTCGCATGCTAAACATATACATATCACCGGACGATAACGATAACCCCGATTGTATCAGGATACGAGTTGAGTTCGCTCCCCTCCCGCGTACTGTCATTAGCACCTTCCTTACAAGCATTGAAGAACGAGCGACAAGAGCACCCAAGATCCTCGCAAAGCGCATCCACAGGCTCACACACGCGCCTGCAGAACAGGTCAAAGAACTAT